GACCCTTATTAGAAATTATATAAGATTCCAACTGCATAGTTTCTATTATAGCTGGACAAATTTGTTTTTTAATATATTATCTTTTTTGACAGATGTGCTCCTTATTTTGTGATTTTGTTGCTTCTTTGGACAATGTTGAATAGTGTGTTTAGGTTCTTTATAATATAAGCACAATCCTTCTAGACGACGACAAGTCTTTTCTTGCTTGGTAAGAGATTTAAAATGTACTACATTAATTTACATATCCTCTGCTTTTGAATGTATGTGTTGAGGAGATGTTGGTTTTGCCATTGAATTATAATAACGTTGAGGCCCATTTGTACCACTCTTAGATTGAAATTCAAAAAGTCAATTGTCAGATTTTACAGCAAAATCAATTGCTTGACTCAATGTTTGAAGATCAGGTAAGTTGAGCATCAATTTTTTTACTTCATGTTGTAATCTATAAAGAAATTGGCTAATAAGTGCAACATCATCCTAGTTGATATCAGTTGTAAGTTGTCAAAATTGTGAAGCATATAACATTACAGATCAATTGTTTTCTGTAAAATATGAATCTTGTTGGTTGAAACACGAGTTGCATCATGTTCTCCATACATGAACCGAAATTTTGCCAAAAATATCTCTAAATTATCCAATATTAGATCTTATCATTCAAAAAAAGATAAAAACCATGATAATGTTGAACCTGAAAGAAGTGTACCAATGAATCTAACTTGTGATCCTGGAATTGGATAGCTTTGATATTGAAGTTCAATTACAAGTTATATTTGATTGATAAATCCTCAAAATTTGAATTTTGTACCATCAAACTTTTTGGACAGGATAATTTTTGGTTCTCTAACACTTGAAAGGTGTTCCACTATGGGTGGAGGGACATGATTTGGTGCAAATATTGAAGCAGCTCTAATCATCTCTACATCCTCACTTCCTGCCATTCTTGTTGATCTTTGTGGTGGTAAGCTAAGTTGATGTATTGTAAGCATCAATTCCCTCAATTGCTCTTGCATTTGTGTCATTGCACTCTTTATTTCAACAAGTTCTACCATAATAATACTAAAATAAAATCTAATACCACTCAAGACAAGTAGAAGAAAAGATTTGATGATAAAGAAATTACTAAGAACAATATCAATTTAGAAGAAGATAATCCATAACTTCTAATACGCTTATGTCTTATCATGAGAAAGGGGTAATCTACTCTTAATCAAGACAAAACAAAGCTCTAATATTATAAATATACTCTTGTCAATCTATCAAGGACATGAACCAAAAGATGATGCATAAATCAATGAAATCTGTGTCAAAGAAAGAGTGACAAAATAGAAATAAGAAAGTACGTATATTAAAAAAAAACTAGAATGGCTTATTGCCAAAAGATAAGAAAACTTGAGATTCTTGAAACTAAACTAAAAGCAAGAAAGAAGTTGATAAGAGTGAAGAGGGCTTCATTCTTATCTCTATATATACTATCTAACTAGGGATTATGTGGCGATGTTCTATAGGACCTCCAATATGTGTTGACTTTATAGGATACATGCCTTGATTTACAAGGCAAGTTTTTTTATGTGTGAGCCACATAGTTAACTTGGTCTTCAAGCTAACAATATGTGTGATACATGGCCAACTTGTTGACCACGTTTCTAATCCAAAAAGTCAATTAAAGACACCTATAAAGTCAAAGGAGCATCTATGAAGCTTTTAGGAAGCTTCTATAGAAGTTATTATGGAATTAACTTGCTTTTACTTACTTCTACTTACTTCTACTTATTTATACAGGTAATTATTGACTTACATGCGTATGTCCATAATACATGGTGATAAATTTGGATAGTCAAAGTTATTTATATCTTTGAACTAAATGTAATTCAAACTATGAATTTAGTGCACAACTCAAAGAACAATCAATGTCGTAAAGATGATGTTTAGTACCAAGTTGGTGGCAATTGTAAATGTAAAATAAAAATACTTTGACATCTATTACAAATTAAAATATTGTATTAATATCAATTATATATTAAAATATATTATGTCCTATCAACCAATCTTATGTATAAAATCAAAACTACACAAGGATATTTTACAAATATACTTTCAAATGTCTTTCTTAATTCATATTAAAAACCTTATCATAATATTTTATTTTTTATTTTACCTACTTTTGATATTTATGTACTAAAAATACTTTTTTTAGATATAGTAGATTCTCCTTAGTATAATCATGTTAACTACACCTTTAATAATACAAATGAGATTTATATTAAATATTTCTTAAACCTCCAAAAATAAATAGAGGTTTCTTAGACTTATAAACTTAATTATTTAAAAAATCATTCTTATAGTATTAAATTAACATAGTACTCTATCACACCTCTTTACAATAAAAATGGCTTAAACCAAAGTAATCTTGGTTTCAAAGTATAAAAAAATGTATAGTAAAGTTAATTCTAATAAAAATTTATTAATTTAAAAAATAAAAAATAAAAATATGATAAATTAATTTTTCATAGAAAATTTATTTAATTGATATCTATATACTATTTATATATTCAAATTATTTCATGGTCTAAATGCTATAATAAAATTTAAATGTGTATCTATAATTAGAATCAGGTAATTAAATTTAATTTTTAATTCAAATGCAAAACCAAAAAAAATTAACAAGAAAATAATTGTTGTATGTATTAAAAATCAATCATGCAATATATAACAATGATTATCTTTTATCTGTCAAAATGTGTTTACATCCAAGACTTGAAGCCTTATAGTAGTATTTGATGCTAAAATAGGCTGAAATGCTTTCTTGATATCTACCAATGGTTCAAACTCTAGAATGTAGTTGCAAATTTAAGTAATAAAAGAAATAAAATTGATAATATTAATTCTTAGTCCACACCATAAAATTAAAGATTTCTTGAATACTTAAAATTAGCTAAAAGATTAAAAAAACCTACATCTTCAAAACCACCAAACCATGCAATTCATTGATTATTACTTCCAACTCATTTATAAATTCAACAAAACGTCTTTCTAGTTATTAATCTTACTTTATCCTTACAATACACTTATGGACAACCTAATTATAATACAAAATGGGGTACTATTAGAAACCTTCAATAATAATATCTACCACAAATGAAGGTATCAAAACACAAAATCTAAAAATCTAAATTTTGGATCTGCTTTTTTATTCAACAAGTTCTAAAGATTTAAGAAAGTTCTCTGAAACAACCAAAATTTATTTTTAGTTGATGATAACAAGTCACAAAAACTTGTGACAATGACAAATAATAGTACTAGAAGTATCTTTATAAATTACAAATACAAAATATGATTTGCAATCTTGATACAATGCTGAATAGTTTATTTTATTTTATATATGTGAAATTGTAATAATTTCTTAAAATACCTATTTTAAAGATGATAAAAAAATCATGATATGATAAAAATTATAATTGTAAATTATTTAGAATATTATATTTTGTTTAAAATCAAAGATTTTTTACTTCTAGATTAAATTTCTCCCATAATATATTTAAGATATTTGGACTCATAAAATTATAAGTTATGTAAGTTTACAACTTCTTGTGAATTCTAAAAAAATATATTATTTAAAAAGCATAATTCCATACTTTGATTTTTTGTTATTAAGCTCTAGAGGCTCTTAGATTATTTTTTTGATGTTTTACAAAATATAACCAGATTTTAATTTACTTATAAATTTTAAATATATTTTTTTTAAACAAAAAAATCAATAATTTTTCAAACTCCAAAAGTTTATAATATATACTTTATGTTTTTTCTTGCAACTTTAGTTGACTAGTAGTAACTTATTACTATCCAATAATTTTTGTTTAAATATCTAAATCTTAGATGACATACAAAACTTTCTTGACATTTGTTGATTGTCTAACTATATTAATCACTTGAAATTTATTTTTTAATTATTGATAGATATCTAAAGATTATTTATTATTTTTTTATTTTATTTTATTATATTTTTATTTAGTGACTGTAATTTTTTATCAATAGTCAATTACCTGCCAAAACTTACTAGGATTGCTCTTTGTAATCTTTACAACTTTAATACATAAACAAAGTTCTTTGGATATATTTTATTTTGTTGTATTTTTTCTTAAGTTGTCAAAAATAGTGTATTAAAACAACACAATCAATATTATTTCATATTATCAAATCTTTTAAATACATGAACATACTTTAAAAATTAAAAAATTTTAGTTTTAGAAATATAAAATTTAATATCTTTATTTCTATAATGAAGAAAAAAAATAAGATTATAATTTTAAAAATATAAAAAATATTGTTTAAATTTCTGAAATAATAAAATTAATTGTAAATTTATTATATATAATTTTAATAAATATATATATATATATATATATATATATATATATATATATATATCTAATTTTAAAAAAACACATATGATTATAAGAAAAAAAAAAAAAAAAAAAAAAAAAAAAAAACCTTTTTCTCTCTACCAATTATTTTAAAAGAGGCCAACTTTATGTGTTTAGTTGGCAAAAATACAAATGTAAATAAAATCAAAAAATAAAATCCTTCCCCTTTTTTTTTTCAAAAACAAAAGTTTGAACATAAGAACTTCCATCTTTGGGTATAGTCCAAATCTAAATAAATATTCAATTAAATATTTTTAATTCAAAGGTATCTAAGAATGCTTATATCAATTCTTTACAACATTTTGACATTCCTCTTTATTGAAAAATGTTATTACATACTTTTCTTGCCATATTGATAACTTAAAAAAAATACAAATATTTAAATTTCTATAAAAAAAATCATATTAAATTAAAAAAAAAAAAAAAAAAAAAAAAAAAAACTCATAAAACACATATTATTTTCTGTTCCTACTAACATCTATCAACATTTTTTTAATTGATTAGCAAGAAGTAAAACATATCAATTAACATTTATTAACCTTGTCTTAATTGACTAGCAAGAAGTATAATATGTCTATCTACATCTCATACATGTGTTACTTGCCTTGAATGTTTGTAACTCAAATGTGTCATATTGTAAATTCGTATCCTCCAATATAATATATTGGTAAAGAACCAAAAAAATTATAATACACAAAATATTTTAAAAAATGCCAAATTTCATCAAAGTGGCCTCATATTAAAGTATGATCAGATACCAGGCAGGTATCAATTGCCACCATGGTGTATCTAATGTAGAAGCCTCACTTTGAATCGTAGTGTAAGAACGAAGGGTATAACCTTGATACGGTACATGAAAGGAAATTCGCTGAAATGTTCTAGACCGATTTCGACAGAACTAAATTTGTTGCAGCTGTTCAAATTCTTCAGCTACACAAAACCAGGTGAACAATGCAAGAATGACCATGTCATGTTTTAAGGTTGAGGGGATAAAATAGATCTCAGTTAATCTGAGCAAGAGGACCTATTTTATATGCCAACATGCATTGATCATTGAGCCTTGAAGTGTGTTATAACTCAAATACTCCAGAGCCAGAGGGAAGATCTAAAGTCCACAAGGAGGCGCACTCTACATGGTCAGAGAGGACCTTGGTGTGAAAAGTTAATCAACGTGGGGATGTTTTTAATATCAACTCTAATGCGTTGAGAGCCTTGCTCATTGAAGCACCTAATTGAATAAGGTCTGTTACGTACCAAAAAGAAAAACTAAAGGAGATGATGGTCTGGACGTTGATCAGCAGCAACTTGGAGCCGAGCCAGCTCAAGGACAATTTGACAATTGGTTGGTTGGAAGATCCATTTGTAGCTGCGGCAAGCAAAATCTGGCAACAAAGAAGCAATTACGACCAGCAATTGCAGGAGCCAGTAGCTAATTGCAGGAGCCAGGACCTCTGAAAACTCTTTGTAGGCAACGGTGGACAATTTGGGGGGCAGGGACCCAAAAACAAGGATAAATAAATACCAAGACAAAATGCTACCCCAGATGGCGATATGGTGGATCCATGTAAAATACTGAATTGATAAAAAGACTTGTAAGTTGGGCACAAGAATAATCCCTGTGAACATGGCTTGTCCAAAGTCCTGGTGAGCTCCAACTTGGCCGTCAGAACGAAAAGCACACGGTCCGAGCATCAATACTGGGAAGAAGAAGATGATCATCGAACAGTACCAGGAGTTCAGCAGCCACAAGCAACTTGTTTTGATGTTGAACAGCTCACTCCTCTGCCCCGCTCGGTAGAGCTCTGGGTACTTCAAAGATTGAGCAGCTGTTACATCTTGATCAATCACTGCCACGACCATGATTGGCAGTGCTGTGAAGACTGGATTGTAAAAGGAGGCGTACCAGTCGTTGAAGAGTGGCTGTCCAGAGAAATGCGCCTCAATATTTGAATAGAATGAAATCCAGCCCAGTAAGGAAACTTTATAAAAGAAATATTGTATCTGCATACATATCATTCAATTAGGGACGACAGAGGGGCTCAGATGCGAGAATTTGCAGCAAACATGCTGTGGCGTTACTTGAAGCAGAATCCATAAAACTGAGTCACTGTTAAATGCTATTTTAAAAGAACTATACTTTGTGGTATGATGTTTAACAAATCTCTTACCAATTTTAAGGTTTCATAAGTGTTACCCCTCTATAAATGTTACCTCTAAATTGCTAACAATTAAAGAGGGTCGACTATGGTACGGTTTTAGCCGACAACTTGAAATTTCATCAACAACAGTTATAACTTCACTTTTGAACCCTTTTGTATAACAATATGGTTGAATACCTTAAAATAGAAATCTTTGATTTGACCATGGAAACAGAAAACACATTGTTTTGGATGAACAAGTATCAAACTAACAGATCTAGCCTTTTTACAGAAAAAAGAAAAAAATAAAGAAAAAAAAAAGCAAAAACACGTACCATCACGGAGACGCGGCGGTAACACCAATGCCCATGAACTAGAAGCAGTCGCTCCAAAAACCGAAATTGTCCAATTGCATAATCAGCAGTCATTGCAGCCTAATAATGTCAAGAAATTCCACGTGAAAGCATGTCACTCCTTTCAACAAAGTTGTTTATGAGGGCTAACTCCACTGTCCGCAAACAATAGGACTTGAAGAAAATCATGTATAACTAACATCGTACTCACATAAATGACAGGTGTAGATAATGAACTACCTGAGCACCTTCAACTCCGATTATGCCAACTCCCACGTTAGCAGCTTGAATCATGCCGACATCATTTGCGCCATCGCCGATGGCAAGACAAAGACGACTTTTCTCCAATCCTTTGCATACAAGTTTTGTCACCTGGGCTTTTTGTCGAGGAGAAACACGACAACAAAGAACTGATGCACAGCTCATACAAACCCGCAAAAATTGATCCCGTAGATCAACATCTGCCATAATGAATACTAATGATTGTCCATCAATCGTTAAAGCATACTCAACTTGAGTGTCGGGGCTGGTTTCATCAACCGCTTTGAGGCATTCAGCCCAACCAAATTTATCCACTTGAGATATAGGTGAAAACTTGGTCATTTGCGAACCTCTACAAGAATTTGGGTTTCCAGACCTAGCTTCCAGGTCCCCTGTTTCTGCCATTCTAGGATTTGAATTTGACACTGTCACCAATTCTAATGCATCTGTAATCTTTCGCGCCACCAAGTCTTTCAAAGCCTGCGACATTAGCAGTAACATAAACTTCAAAAGTTCACACGATTGGCGCAACATAAACACGAAATAACATGAGATAAATTAGGAGAGAGTACTGTCACACAGAAACTTTTACACATGCTTTACTTATCAATTCATCATGGAAAAATAAAATCAAATCAAATCAAATTTAACCCTTCAGTGTCAATTACAGGCACAGCAAGAAAGGACTCCGCTTTAAACAGGATATCATCAGGTGAACGCTGAAGGCAAACCTTTGAGGCATCATCTCGTGAAAGATGGTTCCTCTCAGAATTTTCCTTAATGGTAAAGGTCTCATTGCTCTCCAAACTTATTATAAGATTTTCCATTCCATGTCTCAGCAATCTGCATGCAAGCTTATATATATATATATATATATATAAAATTCAGATCAATAAATTGCTAGATCATGAGACCATTAAAATTAATTTAATATCGTGCAACCTACATCAGATGTAGCACTGGAAAAGGAGAGGTTTGAACACTGGCGATATACCTGCAAGCATAACCTATGTTGATCGCAGTCTCCACTTTGTCCCCTGTCAAGACCCAGATTTTGAGACCTGCACATGCAAGTCGATGTATTGTCTCCGGGACACCAGCCTGGAGCTTGTCTTCTACCCCAGTGCCTCCTACAATTGTCAGTCCTCTCTCAATCTCTTCCGCAACCTCGTCAGTGCGAATCTCGCGTTCTCGCCCAAGTGTAGCCTTCGCCTCTGCGAACCGCACTTGCCATGTCTGATACTCATGTTCCTGAATCACCTTATAGGCGATTAAGAGGGTGCGTAGACCAACTTTACTATAGTCCTTCAAGTGCTTGATAGTTTCGGACACAAATCCTTGATTTTGAGGGTCCAAACGCTCAAGTATCACTGAGTCTGCTCCTTTAGAGAGCAGTAGTAAAATTCCATCTGGAAAACGAACTATCACAGACATACGCTTCCGCACACTGCTGAATTCTAGCACATTCAAGATCTGGTACTTTACATTCACTGGCTCTGCTCCTGGCTCGTGCGTCTCTCGTAAGTAAATGGTTGTCGGCGTACGATTGTAAAAGTAAAATCCAAATTGCTTCGCAGCCACAACAAGCGCAGCTTCATCCGGAGACTCAGCCCGGTAGCGCATGGAAGCAGGGTTTTCAGGGGTCCCATCTGGAATGGCTGTGTGGCATAGCGCAAGAATACGAAAGAAGAATTGGATTTCTTTCCGACCCTTCTCACGTACCCAATTTCCTGCGAGTATCCGAGAATCGTAGAAGTTAAACCCTTCTTCTTTGTAAGGATTATGAGTAGGTCCTTCAATCTCACTTGTACTAGCAACACTATGATCAGTATCTCTGTAGTGGATGTTAGACGTAGTGCTGTGCTCTACCACATCTCGACGACAAGACTGAGTGACTCTTTCCCCAATAGACAAACCAAGGCGGGAAATTGAGGCTTCAACTTCTGTGGCTCCTTTGCCATAAGAGACGCCCGCTATAGAACATTTGAAGAAGTCCATTTGATTACATGTGAGAGTTCCCGTCTTGTCAGAGAGGATTGTATCCACCTGCCCAAGCTCCTCGTTCAAACTAGTAGATCTGATTCGAAACCGCTTGTCAGTGGCTGAATCGTACATTTGGATATCCACCATCATGACTAGTGCTTGCAGGACTCGGACAACCTCCAGCGAGACGTAGAGCGATATGGGTATAAGGTAACCATACAGAACTAAGCCATTCACAGAAGAGACAATGCCGGTGGTTGCAGCATTCTTGGGATCGAAATATGGATTACTCAGCCCTGGTTGCAAGTACCAGGCATTTGAGCCCTCCTGCTTTGTTTGAATCACCATGGTTACGCCTGTGGTTATACACAATGCAACCAAAATGGCGAACATTGCAATAATCAATTTGTCGAGGGTGCAGTCCACACGACTCCTTTTCGATGGGGGCGGAGTTGAGTTACGCATCACTTTTGTGTCATGACCAGTGTAGATCACAACTCCATATACGCTTCCAGTATTTTGAAGGATTGAATCGCGGAGAAGAATTTGGGGAGGTCCAATAGGGTACACTTGCCCATCTGGCAACTCCATCAGCCCAGCAAAATTGTAAAGAGATGCATTTGGACCATCGCATCTCACAGTGGCCCAAAACTCTCCTAATACACTCTCACCATTTTTCTGGCCAATTGTGCATGTACACTCCAAAGCATGGCGCACCTGCATGTCACACTCGCCAAGGACCACAAACTTCATTATCCCAAACTAGAATGGTCACGTGAAACCACCACAATGATAGCTCGCCAAGCGTAGATTCAGAAACACTGTTTGCTAGCCTTGAAAGTGGCACTTTAAAGAGTAAAGAGGTGGAAGGTTCTCAAGTAGAGTGAAAGAAGACCTTCAAATTGGTCTCTCCGTCGAGATTCTTAGTGTCAATGTAGCAAGTGACTTCCGGTCCAGTGGAAGAAAGCAGCAACAAATCAGCTGGAAAATACTCTCCATCAATTACTTTTACTACATCACCTACACGCAAGAGCTTCCACCTCTTTTCCTCAAATTGACCATTACCCGTGTGCACAAGAGTAGGTCGATTATTCACCTCTTGGTCACCCTGACCACGTCGCAAATCTTCCCAAAGCTCACGGACAATGCCAAGCGTCAACACAAACGCAAGTGGAAGCCAGATACTGACGGTGTTGTAGGGGCTGAAGGGTAACAGTGATAACACAGCCATGGCTGTGAAATACCAGTATGCTGCGCGACGGTACTGTTCAAACAATGCCCCTGGTAGAAAACTCCACCAAGTATACTTCGTCGATGACGTTCGATTAGAAACGTATCTGAAAAAACGAATGGGGTGAGCAGAAGACGGGCATCTAAAGCGACAAAGCACAAATGAAGATCTGCAGAGGAATGCGAGAAAATTGTAGTGTTATGGCGACCAACTTAAATATACCGGTGTAGGATCCGTCGTTGGGCTCATTAGTAAGCATATGCAATCAGTGAACAACCGGGATACTAGAGCAACCACAACTGAATCTAGAAATATTTTACAACAGATACAAAACTTACTCATACTTGGCGTTGAGATCAGGACGGTTACAGTGTAGAACACGCGGTTCATCCTCCATGCCTGAAGTCGCAGCTTGAAGTTGACGAAACCGCCACCCTTTCCCTCTTAAAAAAGAAATACACTGTTCCATTCTTGAAAACTCTGGTTGCTGTTTTCTCTATAACGTCTTTAAATTCACCGTCAGTTTTGACAATACCACCCTGATAGTGCTCATCCTCGTGCACGAGCTTTTCAAAAGAGGAGAAGGCCTGATCAAGATATGTTCCGCACGATCAGTGCATGCAGGAAATCTATGAGCCATAAACGTGAAAAGGAAAAATGTATGGACTGCTTAACATTATGATAATCTTCAACCCCATTCGATTCCAATGTTAAACAAGAACAGCAGGAATTAGAAGTGATTGCATTAAAATTCCGCATCTAAAACAACGCTGTGCCAAACTACGAATTTCTGACTTTGAATTACATTGGAGATGAACAGCTATGAGCGTTTAATTTTCGTTATCCTACCTAATTAAGAGGATAAACAATAGAACAAATCCACTTGCACATCGACATTGATTAATTTTGTGCAAAACCTGTCTGCGAGTCATTCAGATTTCTATTTTGCTTACCGATCTCTTGAAAATAGTAAAATTGTGAAGACAATACCTCAAGGATCTAACAGTCAAGTATCACTGTCACGTATCGACTCCAATGGACTTAAAAAACTGCATGGAGATCTAGACTTTATGCACTGACCTCAGGAGCTACGGAGAAGACAACTTCGAGCAGAGGTAATCCACTTGCAGTCGACGTATCCTCCGATTTATCTCAGATACAATTAATCTGCGTCCATCTCCCCGGCCAGTTGAAAATACTCTGACGTGCCTTTTCATGAGGCTGAATCCTGACTCCAAATGATTGCGTCTACTTTTGTTGGCCAGCATTCGGTTCATGTTTGTTCTCCACCCTATTCATCCAAGTGAACCTATGATGGATCAGATAATAATGATCGGAACAATCGCAATCGGATAGGTCCAGGGAAAGCACATTCCATACGGAAAGCCAGATAATTTTGAAATTGACAGTGGGACTTTCTAACAGCTCAAAGAGCGATGAAATGAACAACAGTTCGAAACTGTGTTCTACGGCAAAATCATTTCTGTAGAGTCAACGCTGATCAAATGATACTGAACAAGAAATTGATAAGTATCCGATACTTCCTCAACCCGTTTCTTAATTTTTTTTCTAGACTTATCGGGCATACCTTGAACTTTAAAGAGCACATATTAGGGTTTTCTGGAAAAACTCATCCTGTGAAGACATCCTGCCTTCTGCGTAAGCACCGCCCATTTTAGAACAGAAAATAAAAAGAAATCAATCACTGAAATTATTAAATTAGCGTACTCAAATTCAGCCTAGCAAGAAAAATCTAAACACACCATACTCAGATACTGTTCGGATGCCATGTCAAATTGCAGATAATCTGCATATCGAAAGCCATGTAAAACGGGCATAATACCCGAAGCGTGTGAGAGAAACCTTCCTTAGTGAAGAGAAAAGCTGAGAGGTCTGCAACGTAGTGTCCCTACGTGTGCAATCTTGTTTGCAGTTCTATCTGTATGAATACAACAGAATTTAGGGCTTAAGGTTGCAGACTAATAACATAACAAAATATGCTTCATTACACACAGAGATGCGCTTCCACATCGGGAGCATTATGCGAATCCATCCAGAGAGAGTGAAATTCGCAAATAGCTCGACTACTCTGTTGTGGATGCAGAGGTGAGGAAGAAAGAAGCGATATTCATTCCGTAAGGTAATGCGGACAGAGACTCGGGACATGGACCTCATGCTGAATAGTAGTTCATATTTCCACAGAATGTGACGCAGTATTGAAGCTCTACTCTTGCTGATCAACCATGCTATGGTTAACGTGCCTTGTCGCAATTATGATGTGCTGAAGAATGTCCATAACACTATGTCAATTCTCACAGTAAACAACCCTTCACACGCATGCACCTAGCAAGCAACAGACAGGTCTGAAACCAGCTTCGTGGCCGTCCCCTTCAAAATCGATGCGCCACTATCAATTGATAAAACACGTTTAAGGACGGTAAAACCTCTGCAGATAGCAATTTGCACAACCCCGAACAACAAAAATTGTCCACTGTCATCAACGAACAAGAACAAAAAAGGCATTTCAAACATCATCATGAAAATCGCTAATCCCATGTTGCAATGCAATCTGCACACAAACTGGTCTTTACTTTGATAACAGAAGTTTCAAAGCCGTTATGTTCAAAGCTACAGGGAGAGTGTAGCAATACCATCGAAGCGAAAACTTTAAGATGCTACAGCCATGATCGTCATCAGAAAAGGAGCAATGCGGGTGTATAATTCCTGACACTGACGTCTCAAGCAACAACCTCTTTGAAAATCTACCAGACTGTCCATTGCGAACTTACAAAATGTTAAATGAAAAAATGAATAAAAATACGATAACAGCCATAGATATGGGCCCAACAAATCAGATTCCGTGGTTAGACGACGACATTGCACAAGTTCGTGGGCTTAACCCTCGTCATTCTCGCAGACCAATCGTTTTGGTGCCGAGGTTGCCACACTCATCCTTCATTCAGAAAATCGCACTTCTGGTTGAGGTTTTTGCTTTAGCAAAGACAAACTTGACTTACTTTCCAGTTTGAGATTCTGACGAGATCAAAACTAAGCAATTAAACGTCTTTCGTTATGTATATCGTGGGAATGTCCTCGAGAGGACAACAAACTTTTTAACGTCAACTAGGACAACTATTTTCCTATTGGTTCGGTTCCCAATCAGTCCAGCACATCACAACTTAATTTTGTTCAACTTCGGAGCAAGGATCAGTTGTATCTTTGATCATGTAATATTATCGATTGACTTTCTGTGTAACGATCATTCATGTTTTGCATTGTTCTTCTCTATGTGGATCCTTTGTATTATGAACTTTTGCTTGTTTGCACCTCTGCTTTCGTTTAGGAGTTGAGGAAGTGCATCTACGTTAAGTTGAGCCCAGCTCTTCGAGTGCAATCTCATAAATTCTTGCAAGGATCAGCTCCGCTTGGACAATGTAGACAACACAGCAATTTTCACTTATTGTTAGACATTCGCGAGGTTCATATACGCGTTCAAGCAACTTGTCTCCTATGTTTAATTTTCCAGTGTTGAAATTTCTAATCAAACTTGTGATGTGCTCAAGACGGAGAAGACAACCAGACGGAGAAGAGCACCCAGAATCAATCGTATTACACAAGCAACCTCAAACCCTATCTGATTTGCTTTGGTAGCGCAAACTCTTGAGTTTTTTTGTATCCTTGAGTGTTTTAGTGTTCTCACCTTCCTTCTTTTTCAACGTAACAGAGAAGCGAATTCATTGGGATCAATGTTTTTTCGTTATTGTAATGAGAGTGCGGAATTTGCAACACTTGGTGCATGAAATGCATCCGGAACTGTTGGGTGTCATTTGGTGGCGCCTGGAGAACATGCCTGAGATCAAATTGGTCTGAAGAAGTCTAACCAACCACTAAAACCGTCTGCCACCTTCTCCTCTTCTTCGACCATGTTTTATTCCATGCACACAAACGTAGCGATGGCATTCAAATTGGAGTGATTTTCCTTTATCTCGGAGTGAGTAGGCTGCAGTTCAACAACGCAATTGCGCAGAGTTTTTCCAATCCAGCAAACGAGCAGCGGCGAGGTGAATTGCTTGGCGCGTAATGGAGAATCCCGAGTCAAAGAAGGTACCCCATCTGTTCGAATACTTGTTCACTCTGTGATGCTCACAAAACATTCTCCAAACACGCTTGAGAAATTAGGACTTCAAGTTTGAGCATATAACTATAATAATAGAAAATCTGCATGACAGATTTCAGATCCCACTATTGACAAGCTGGCGAAAATGAATGAACGGCTGAACAACGTGCTGGCAGAACTGGATTCACTCAAGGACATCATGCCTCACAACGAAGACCTCGACGATCTAAAGCAATTCAACAAGCCGGTGGATCTGCCACCCATGCCTAAAGAGCCACCAAAGCAAGATAAGAAACTCAGCGTAGAGGATATAATAGGCAAAAGGATGACATGAACGAGAGAGCGAAGATTCTATGCAAACACACTGAGCACTGATCCAAGAGTAGATGGAAGAACACATGCAGCAAGGATTCCATGTTGTTTCTGGCCATTACCACTGCAACACACACACATCTGTGTTGCAGAAACCCTAAACCTTTTTGCTTCTTCATTTCGATGAGCAGACTGATGAATTATGGGCCAGTAAATGCAACGTCGACAGAGATTATTAAAACCATCAGGTGCAACCACCACTCACACTTTTATCCTTCAAATTCCAATGTCAGAGCAATGTTACTGTTAGGGGAAACTGTGCAACCCACATAATCTGCACAAGTTAGGAATTGCTTGCTAAGTTAGAGAGTGTGTAGGGAAGCAAATTGCCTAATTAAAGCCTACTTAAATATGTGTAAGGATCAAAATTGATGAAGAATACATGTGTGTGTGTGTTTCCAGATGATATGAATGTCTTGCATTAATTCATCTTAGGACCCTCTTCATGTGTCTCGAATTGGGTCTTCTGTGCATGTTAGGCTTTAACTGTGATGGTTGGTTTAATACAGTTGAGGATTAATGTGCACAACCCAAGTTCTGGATATGGAGTAATTGCTAATGGATGTTCTAAATTCGATCATTCCTTAATCAAACATGATACTGCATAGTTTCCTTCACCTAATGTATTTACTAATAATAAAAATAAAAAAATCACATACAAATTTTCAGAAATCTTAAGTAAAAACGCCATTATACAAGTGGTAAGACAATAAACATCACAAAGAAAATTCAATATATATCTATAAAAAATAAAAATAAAAATAAAAATAAAAAACTAACAAGTGATTTAACTGAGGATATTCAAAAATTTTGTGAAGTCTTTTGTTTATTGTATTATAAAATACGGTTATGGTTTTATTGATATAAGATGGTAAAAATCAGAACCAGTATTTTCAGTCTTTTTTTTTCCTTTTTTTTATTTTTTTCTTCCTGTTTTATATCATTCATTTAAGTGCCTTCAACAATCAACTTTTTTTTTTTTACATTCATACATTTATATTCTCACATTCTCGATTCTATACTAAGAGGAATCCCTATTAATTTTACACAAAAATATTTCAATTTCACTATATTATTTTTTATTATTGATTTATGTGCTGATTATACTTAGCTATTAGAAAGTATTCAGAGTTATCAATGAACAAAATTATTGTGATTAGGTTTTAGCCACTCATACATGTTTGATTGGCAACTTGTTTAAATTCAACATGTTCTTTTCTTAATCCTTTTCTATTGAATTTGATAGGCAACAATTCACTGAAACATTTATAACTAAGGATATAAATTACCACAAAGATTTCATTTTTATTTTTAAAATTTTAAAATCTCACAAAAAATCAACACAAGAATTGGTATAAAAACACACATATGCATATGTGCATATATATATATATATATATATATAGATTGACTGATTGATTTAAGATAAAATTTTGATCTACTATAAATAAATAAATCAATACAAATTTTAAAAAATACGTAATATAATAACCAAATTTAAAATTAAATATTTCAACAAATTTTTTAAAATCTGATATAAAAAGCATTTTTTATGTTTAAAAAATTTAACAAAGAAGTTTTAAAATATATTTATATTTATTACACGTTAATAATCTTAACAAGTTCTATACATCAAATTTAATATTCATATAATTATATTATTTTTATAAAGACAAAATATCATAAACATTCATAAAATTACAATAAAAAATATAAAAGTTATCTCTTCCATCAAATTAAATAAATTATACTTAAAAAATATCAAATTAAAAACTATTCAAATAACAATTCAAAAATTGTATTCAATTTTAGAATAAAATATTATGTTTAAAACTTAAGACTAAAAGAATTAATAATTAATTATATATATATATATATAGAGAGAGAGAGAGAGAGAGAGAGAGAGAGAGAGATTGTGTCAAGTTAATAATTACATCATAGTAAGTTGAAACTAAAATGTTTTATAAATGATATTAAAAATATTATTCTTTTTGTAATTTTTTTGTTAACAATGACCAAGTTACAATTATTTTTATAAAAAACTTATAGAAAATACAAGGGGGTGATTTTTGAATTTTTAATATAGATATTTTTATAGAATATTGTGGAATTGCATGTATTACACAATATTAAAAATCTAAATTTAAAGTAACTTTTAAACAAATTATTAAAAAGAAAAAAGAAAAACGTCGGTTTTAAGTCAGCTTTTATTGTCCATCATTTGTGTTTTGTGGTTTTATAATATTATATTTGTATGGAAAATAAAATTGAATCTTTAATTATTAAATTATATATATATATATATATATATATACACTAAAAAAACAGACTTTTGAAAATTTAAATCTTTATGTAAAAATTAAATTATTAAATTATTAAAATTGATGTATATATATATATATATATATATCAACATTTAAAATTTTATTTAGATAATATGGATATCATTTTCAAAATAAAAGTAGGACTTTGAACATTGTACTTTGATTTTATCAATAGTTAACACCTAAACAAAAGGTACGGTAAACAATGGTTTCATACAAAAATATCATCATCCAATATTATGGCAATAAATGTAAAGACAATTAACAAACACTAAAACAGAAAAATATTATATAGATTCAAAGAGTTAAAAATACATGTATAAACATTGAAAATTCAAATCTAAATTTCATGGTATTCTTTCCTGAATTACTAATTCAACAACATGAGAAACAAAAGATGCACTTGACAAAAAGAAAAAATAAATCTATTGTTGTCACCAAACTATCTAACTCCACAACACAACACCAAGTTCAACCTCATCCAAAATAAACTTTCAAAAATATACATATCTTACATTCTTTATTCCAAAAATCTATATTCTCCAACAAATACACACACAAGATTGTTCACATAATAAATATATATATATATATATATAACAATAAAACTCTTTAAACTTTATTCTCTAACCTGTGAATCGGCAAAGTGGATCAGAGGGAATCAGTTACATCAGAAATTAAAAGCCCAGAGAGGATTTACAGTGTTTGTTTAATCGAATGAATGTGGCCATGAACGGGAAGGAGTGAACAACAAAGGAGAAACATACACTTCATTTCATCGACGATGTTCCTGGTTGATTTCCACACGAAGCAGGGATCGAAGCAGAGAGGCAGATTTTTTAGACGAAGAAGCATTAACAACTTCACTAATAATCTACAGGATTAGTTTTGCAATAAAAATGCTAACCAGAGATGAATACAATGCGCACACACACACACACAATGTAGTGGCTAAATCTCGTATTTTTGTGTTTGTTGATGGTATCGCCTGCAGATTGATTTCGATCGAATTCGTCCAGTTTTTCTGCAATGGGATTCTGTGTGGTGCATTTTATGCAATGGTGTAGCCAACACTCCTTGATTGCAACAAGGGGTTGTTGATCAACTGAGCAGCAGCAGGCTACGCAGGACATGCTTGAAGAGGAGCCCCGCACAGACCCTCATTGCCAGGGCGGAAGGTGGACTCAGGCTTGCCGCTCAATGCTGGAGGAATGCGGCTGGAGAGACGATTCCCTGCCAGAGAAAGTTGCACATTGGCCAGCCTCCCATACTGAGCAGGAATGCTGCCAGAGTGCGCGTTGTTTGAGAAATCGAGGACTTTGAGGTTCGGCAACCTCGTGGGCCAGGTAGGCAGTCCTCCAGTAGCCTTGCGGTTCATTTGCATGCGCACCTTCTCGAGGGAAGTGAGCGATCCCAGGCACGCTGGACCGAGGTTGGGGATCCAACTCTGTGAAACCTCCAATTCTTTGAGGTTTTTGAGCTTGCAGAGTGCCGAAGGTAGACCGGTGTTGTACGAGGAGCCTTGGATGACGAGAATCTCCAGAGTGCCGGCGAAGTTGCTAATGTCATTCTGGAGAGAGCCTCCGAATCTGCCTTGGTTGCCGATATCACCGTTGCGGATGACGATTTCGCGCAGCGGGAGCTTGGACAGCTCGCGGAGAGGGAGGGGGCCTCTCCAGGAAACCCAGTTCGTGCGAAAGATGACGAGCTGAGAGAGCTTCGAGAGCGCCTCGTAGGCAATCACCAAGGCCTGAGGGTTGTTTGGGTCGATGGTGACAGTACGACCACGAATAGGTACGTCGAGGTCCAGATCTATGCCGCCGACTCCTGATCTACTGCACAGAACCCCCTGCAATTGTAGAAACAGCGGCGTTCAAGGGCACATCCAGAGAATGATACGAGAAAACCCTAGACCCAAGCGGGTTCCAAACTGCAGGGAGAAGAGGGTTTTGGATGTTCAACTCACTCTCCAGCCGCAGCAGTTTCCACTCTCTGGCCCCCAATCCCCGAGGTCATCTCTGGGATCGAGAACCACGGATTTGAACTTGAGCAAAGCACGGCTTTCCTCTAAACTACACTGCGCCATCGCCGAGTAAGTGAAAAAGGAGAGAAAGATGCACAGCAAAACTGCAACATAGCCAATCCGAGCTTTTGATCCATACTCCATTGCGCGTTCCTTACCTCGTCTCTGCCACTACTATCCAACATTGATTCAGTTAGTTCTACACTTACTGGCAACCCAACAGGTTCTGAAAAACACACGGACACGCCATACAGCATTGCCCCAAAAGGGTAACGAAACGCTTGAACCTCTCACCTCGCTCACTTGCTTGCTTGTTTCACTGCAGGTCGATTGACTTATCAAATCGGGTTGCAGAAATCAGGGAATCCCAACGCTACCCAAAATTGGGTACCACCCAAAAGAGAAAGCGTAGAGACTAAATAGGGGAAAGATGGGACTTCGGGTTAATGAGTGTGAAGAATCGACGCCGAGTGATACGGGCATATAGTGGCAGTGAAATGGGCGGTTTTCTAGATTGAAAGCTGTGGACTTGGGCCTCAAGGTCAAACCTTTGACTAGCAGAGATCCATCCACCGCCTTTGGCATATTTATCACGTAGCATCATAAAGCTGCAGGATCTTATCTCTCTCAACTTGGAAAACATGCCATTTTTGTCATGTTTTTCTGCCAGTTTACGATATGTTTTTTGATTCCACCACTTGGATTTGATGCCACGAGTCTTTTTGATGGCTTAGAAGCATGCATTCTGTCAGTGTCACAACCATTGTTTGACAAAACTGCAACTTCTCACTTTGTTTTGTTTTTTGTTTCTTCTTCTTCTTCTGCTTCTTGGAACGTGCTTAAGGCCCTTGCTAAAAACAGAAATGGTGTAGTTATGAAAATAAATCGATTATGATTTTTATTTTATTTAATTTAATTTTAACATTTGGTTTGGGTGTATATATCATGGTTTCTAATTGATATAAGGCATGTGCACTTCAGGAGGAGGTTTGTGATTTCATTTGACTATCTTCATTAAATATGTCTTGTTTGAAGAGCAAACATATGTTGTACCTATTGAAAAAGAGAAGTCTAAAGGCTACAAATACTTAGCATCAACAAAGATTGTACTCTAAGAGAAGTGTGGAGGAAGATAATTCTTACTTCCAACACTCTTTACTTATAGGTGGTGGTTTGCCCACCAACAAGGCAACCTCCATCCATTTGATATTACATCCGTTTCTACCTCATCTTACTAAATCCTCGGTAGTACCATAATAACTTATTTTATTTCTTTGTTGCCTTTTCATTATTAGCAATATACTATACTTAAACTTTATGTGGTTGTAACTAAGCAAGTACTTGTTGTTCTTCAACACTCCCACTTTGCTAATTTTCAAAAGGCTTTTAATCCTAATCTTTGAATCAAATCATGATGTCTATCCTTGACTAATGCCTTTGTAAGCACATCAGCAAGCATGTCATTTGTAGCACAATACTTCATACCTATTATTCCATCTTTAATCTTCTCTCGTATGAAATGATATTGAACATCAATGTGCTTGGTCCTTGAGTGGTGAATTTGACAATGAGTGCATAAGTCTCATTGAAATCAATTCCAGCAACATGTGAGTATCCTTTACCAACCAATCTTGCCTTGTGCCTCACCACCACACCCATTGCATCTCTTTTAGTCCTAAACACCCACTTACAACCAATACTAGATCGATTTGTTGCAAGAAGTGCCAATTCCCATGTACCATTGTCCATAAGAGATTGGTACTCTTCTTCCATAGCCTTCTCCCACTTGATTGTATCTTCATACTTCATAGCATCACACAAAGATAATAGATCAGCAAGAAGAGCAACATTTGCATGTTCTTTTCTTACTTGAGAGAAGATGTGATCCTTCCACCATTCGCCACGTTGCTTTCTTTCTCTCAATAGATATCTCCTTTCATTGATTGAAGAACATTCACCTTGTTATATTCTTTGTTCTTTTCCAACTTTTAAACCTTGTCGTTTCTCATTCAATGGTTGGTACTCTTTATCATTATCATCATCCCAATCTTCAACATCTTCATTTCTTTCATATTGCTGGTCCTTTCAATTGTATGAGCCTTTATCTTTTCAACCTACTTTGGCTTTTCATCTTCATCATCTTCATTGACATTATCTTCTTGTTTCTTTGCTGAATTCAAAGATGTGTCCACAAACACACCATTACTCCTACTTCGACACATCTCCAAATGCTCACAAGCACTCTTGTACTCCAAAAATACAACATCACGACTTTTGATGATCTTCTTGGTTTCCAAGCACATGAGCTTGTATGCCTTAGTACCTTCACAATAACTAAGAAACACACACTTTGTACCTTTTGCATCAAGTTTGGACCTCATACAATCTGGTATTTTTGCATATGCAATGCAACCAAAGGTCCTCATATGGAAAATGCAAGGTTGTCTCCTACTCCAAGCTTCTTGTGGTGTCATTGATACAAGAGCACTTCTTGGACATCTATTTCTTGTTTATACTGCATTCACCATAGCTTCCGTCCAAAACTCATAGCTAAGGTTTTGAGCATGAAGCATGCTCCTTGCTATCTCTACAATGGTTTGATTTGTCCTTTCAGCAACACCATTTTGTTGTAGAGTGTATGGAATTGTGGTTTGTCTAGCAATTCCTTCATTCTTCAAATAAACATCAAATTGCTTAGATATATACTCACCTCCACTGTCCGTACGTAGCACCTTGATCTTGCATTCACTTTGTCCTTTAAATTCCTTAAACCTCCAAAAGCATTCACTCTTGGCTTTAAGAATATAGATCCAAATTTTTCTTGAATAATCATCAATGAAAGTGAGAAAATACCTTGATCCTCCAATACTTGTGTTTTTCATAGATCCACATACATCTGAATGGACAATCTCTAGCAACTTCGTAGCACGTGTTGCTACACTCTTTGGAAATGAGGCCCTTTGTTGTTTGCCTTGTATGCATCCTTCACATGCAAGTTGTTTTACATTATGGCTTGTATTGCCAAGATCTAAGCCACTTACCATGGTCTTCAGCTCTCTCATGCTCTTCACATTCAAATAGCCAAGGCGATGATGCCATATATTCAACTTGTCTTGGTTTGATGTAAACTCAGCATATGCAGCTACTTCTACTCCATTCACCTTTTTACAAATGAAGTAGTACAAATTTCCTTCTTTCAAGCCTTTGAAGACCTTGTCTCCACTCAATGTTCTGACAAAACATCCATTCATGTCAAATTGAACTTTAAAACCTTCTACTACAAGTTTACTCACCGAAAGTAGGTTTTGATTTATCTTAGGTACATGAAGGACATTTTTAAGTATGATCCTATAGGTTTGTCCATTCACAACGACCTCCACCATAATAGAGCCAATTCCAATGGCTTGACATGTACCACTATCTGCCAATACCACGTTTGATGCTGGAATAGCCTCATAAGTATCAAATGAATACTTATAAGGTGTCATATGCTTGGAACAACCTGAATCCACAATCCATCTTGATATGGTAGCCATTGAGGTCCCATTTGTTGCTGTGAATGCATAATCTTGTTCTCCAAACTCATCTTGCACACAATTTGCATTGTCTTTCTTCATCTTTTTTCTTTATAGCAATTTTGAGCAAAATGGCCTATTTTGCCAATAATGAAGCAAGATTTGACATTACCTCCTTGATTTGAATAGTTGCCTTTGCTTTGACGTGAGTAGAGTACTGAATCTTTACTTTGAGGCTCATTTTCTTTCTTCTTGGTTACTTCATAGGCAATTCTTGCCGTCACATAATCCATTGTAAGTTCTTTTAGCTTGATGGACTCCAATGCCACAATAAGGTAGTTGTAGGATTTGGGAAGGCTCATTAGCAAGGTCATGACAATATCACTTTCTTCTAAAGGCTTGTCAACAGTTGCAAGTTAGTTTGTAAGAGCCTTTACCTTATTAACATGAATCATGAGGTCTTGATCTTCTTCCATCTTGCAAGTGAAGAACTTCGTCCTTGTATAGATGAGGTTGGATAAGTTCTTCCTCTCATAGATGTTGCAAAGAGTCTTCCATGCTTCTGCTGGTTCTTTGTAAGAGATAATATGAATCATGGACATACTCATGTAAGCTAGTAATTATATATACAAATAGGTAGAAGTAAGTAAAAATAGATAAAAGTAAATTAATTCTATAGTATTTAATATGGAAGCTTCCTAGAAGCTTTATAGATACTACTTTGACTTCATAGGTGTCTTTATTTGACTTTTTGGATTAGAAACGTGGTCAAAACGTTGGCCATGTGCCATACATGTTGTTAACTTAAAGATCAAGCTAATAATGTGGCCTACACATAGAAAAACTTGCCTTATAAGTCAAGGCATGTATCCTACAAAGTCAACACATATTGGAGGTCCTATAGAACGTCGCCATGTAGTCCAAGTTAGATAGTATATATAGAGATAAGAGTGAAGCCTTCTTCACTCTTGTCAAGTCCTTTCTTGCTTCTAGTCTAGTTTCAAGGATTTCTAGTTTTCTTGTCTTTTGGCAATAGCCATTCCAATTTCTCTTTCAATATACATACTTGTTTATTTATACTTTGTTACATTTCTTTGAGTAAAGGCTCACTTGTCTGAATTACTTTTTTATCGGGTTCTTATCCTTCACAGATTGACAAGAGTATACCTATAATATTAGAGCTTTATTTAATCTTGATTAAGAGTGGATTACCCCTTTTTCTTGATAAGATATAAGCATATTAGAAGTTGCGGATTACCCTCTTTTAAACTGATATTATCCTTAGTATTTTCTTTGTTCTCAAGTTCTCTCTTCTATTTAACTTGAGCGATATTAGACATCTTCTCTCTTCTAAGTATTATCATGGCAGAACTTGTTGAAATAAAGAGTGCAATGGCACAAATACAAGAGCAATTGAGAGAGTTGATGCTTGTGATGCATCAACTCAATTTACCACCACAACGAGCAACAAGATTGGTAGGAAGTAAAAATATAGAGATGGTTGGAGTTGCTTCAACATCTACACCAAACCATGTCCTTTCTCCTATGGTGGAACGTCCTTCTAGTATTAGAGAACCAAGAATTGCCCTACCCGAGAAGTTTGATGGCACCAGATCCAAGTTTCGAGGATTTATCAATCAAGTGTAACTTGTGATTGAACTTCAACCCCAAAGCTATCCAACTCCAGGATCGCAAGTTAGATTCATTAGTACGCTTCTTTCAAGTTCAGTACTATTGTGGTTTTCATCTTTTCTTGAACGACGAGATCCAATATTAGATAATCTAGAGGCTTTTCTTGTAGAGTTTCAATCCATGTATGGAAAAAATGATGCAATTCGTGTTGCAACCAATAAGATCCATATTTTACGACAAGGTAATCGATCAGTAACATTATACGCTTCACAATTTCGACAACTTGCAATAGATATCAAGAAGGATGATGCTGCACTTATTAGCCAATTTTTCTACGGATTA